TTTAAGGCAGTTAGCAATTTAATTTAAAATAAAACAATGACAGCAAAATAAGAAAACAGAATACTCTCAGGCCATTGATGGTCTCTTCTGGCATCCATAACTCCAAAGGTCATGAGCAGAAATCGTAAGTGGAAATCTCAAAGAACCAGAGTTAATGGGATCAGTAAGAAAAAAAACTCATAATGATGACATCAGTTCAGCAGCAGAGCAATCTGTAAAATTAATGCAACTTGACTTCATTTTAACTCCATGGCTTAGTGCTATGGAATCCTGAAGTTTTGTAGTTAGGTGAGGCACTAGAACTAGGCTTGTGCACGGACTTGGAGTGATTGGTTCCCTTTGGCTAATCCAGCTTGTTCAGCTTGGTCAGATGGCCATAACAGCAAGGATCCAGTCATCATGTTCTTCTGTCCATAACGGGACTACGTTTCCCTGTGAGTCCTGCCTGTTGGGCCAATCAGAATTGAAGAACACCATGATGTGTCTTCTGCAAACTGTGTCAGCTTCCTTAACCCCATTGCTGAAACCCAGGCTCCCTTGAAGGAAAAAAAGGAAAGGATCCCAGGAATGGAAAGGGGAACCTTGTAAGTTCCCCATTGCCACCAATGGGCCAAATCTAGGGACATTTTTGGCTGCAGATCGAAAACGGCTATCTGGCTACCTGCCCATTTTCAGGAGACGCACACAAAAGGATACAGAATCCAGCCAGCAGAAACAGATTGAGGTATAGCCGAAATGCATAAGCCTACCCAGAACCCTTTGGCAGAGAGGACTACAACTACCACAATTCCATATAATACACAGCCATGGCAGATAGAGGATATCAAACTGCATTAATTCTACAGTGTTGTAGAAGCACTGTCTCAGGGCACTTTTATATGGATCCAAAATGCAGGACTGATTAGGTGTATCGGATTCCAGATTGGGCTCAAATAGAGCCTAGAAAGGAACTTCATCAGCTGCCTTGGAGGTAGGAGTGAGCCCTACTGCCCAGCCATGCTGAACATGGCAGCCACCCTGCATTATATAAGTCTACACTGACCATATCATGCAGTTTCAAACTGCATGATATGGCAGTGTAGATGGGAATCCACAACAGTAAAGGTCCTCACCCAAGTCCTCCCACAATATATTTCTCCACTGATGGGACAAAAACCTTTATTCTTTGCCAGGGAAATATAGAATGTAGAGTGCAAATACGTATACATTTATGTTTTATATATAGATTTTAAATTGTATGTTTTCCTTCAAATTATTATTTATATAAGCATAAAACATCACCTTTGTTATATTTGCTGTGTTCACACTGTTTTGGTCACTTTGCCTACCTGCCCCTTAATATATTTAAATTGTATTAAAAATTTTCTGTTACTGTAGCAGCAGTTATGACTTTTTCCTGCCATGGACTACAGTATACGTAGTGTACAGTGTATAATTGCAAATTGTATACTTTCCTTTTCCTTAAAAAGCCTTTTGGTTCATAATGAAAGAGATGTTACAGTTAAAGTCTATATATAAGCTTAAAGTCTGGCCTTGCTGAAAGTAGTATTATATGTTCATATTTCCTGTCAGATTTAGAATGAGTTGCAATGGCGAAACATGATTTAAGAGTGAAATTCCTGTTTTTAAAATTGTAGCTTTGGGGTTTAGAGTGCCATAAAACATCCCTGCCTGACAGGTTGTTTAAATATTAATTTAGTTTTTTAATTAGTACATTCAAGGTTTGGCTGGGTTGCCTGCTGTGCTTACACAGTGTTACAGCCACATGGATGCGGACAGCAGATGTTTCAACAGAATCACCGGTTAAATAATCCTATTATCTCCCCGTTCTACCTTGTCCGCTTGGTTTGTCGTCCACTTAAACCTAAGTAGAGATATATGTGTTCACTTACACATACATAAACATCAATTTCTCAGTGCACTTCATGTTTCTGAGAGAGAAAACTGTCACCTAGGAAACCTCACATGTTTCTATTCCCTGCACTATCTTACCTTGACTTGTCATTCGTGACTGATAAAACAAATTTGAAGGACAAAGTCATAAAACTAAATGTGTATGCAGGTTCCAATGCTCAGTTACAAAACACATGAGCTATGCATCATTGGTGAAATAATTAGATCATTCTAGTTAACAAATATATTAGTAGATTTTTATGTGTACATACACACTTCATAGAATCATAGAATCATAAAGTTGGAAGAGACCTTGTGGGCCATCCAGTCCAACCCCCTGCCAAGAAGCAGGAAAATTGTATTCAAGGCACCCCCGACAGATGGCCATCCAGCCTCTCTTTAAAAGCCTCCAAAGAAGGAGCCTCCACCACATTCCAGGGCAGAGAGTTCCTGAACAGCTCTCACAGTCAGGAAGTTCTTTCTCATGTTCAGATGGAATCTCCTTTCCTTTAGTATGAAGCCCTTGTTCTGCATCCTGGTCTCCAAGGCAGAAGAAAAAAGGGTTGCTCCCTCTTCCCTATGACTTCTTCTCACATATTTATATATGGCTACCCTGTCTCCTCTCAGCCTTCTCTTCTTCAGGCTAAACATGCCCAGCTCTTTAAGCCACTCCTCATAGGGCTTGCTCTCCAAACCCTTGATCATTTTAGTATTCCAGGTGTGGTTTAACCAAGGCAGAATAGAGGGGTAACATGACTTCCCTGGATCTAGACACTATACTCCTATTGATGCAGGCAAAATTTCATTGGCTTTGTGCCGTCACATCACATTGTTGGCTCATGTTTAACTTGTGGTCCAAGATCTTTTCAACACAATCTCCTCTTGAGCCACGCTTCCCGTCCGTCCCCCTCCGTCCCCCCCCCCCCCGTATCTTTGCATTTCATTTTTTCTACCTAAGTGGACTATCTTGCACTTGTCACTGTTGAACTTCATTTTGTTAGTTTTGGTCCATCTCTCTAATCTGTTAAGATCATTTTGAATTCTGCTCCTGTCTTCTGGAGTATTGGCTATCCCTCCCAATTTGGTGTCATCTGCAAACTTGATGATTGTCCCTTCTAACCCTTCATCCTAGTTATTAATAAAGATATTGAACAGGACCGGGCCCAGGACGGAACCCTGCAGCACTCCGCTTGTCACTTCTTTTCAGGATGAAGAGGAAGCATTGGTGAGCACCCTCTGGGTTCGTTTGCTTAACCAATTACAGATCCACCTAACTGTACTTTTGCCTAGCCCACATTGGACTCGTTTCCTTGCCAGAAGGTCATGGGGGACCTTGTTGAAGGCCTTACTGAAATCCAGGTACACTACATCCATGGCATTCCCCGCATCTACCCAGCTTGTAACTCTATCAAAAAAAGAGATAAAATTAATTTGGCATAACTTGTTTTTGATAAATCCATGTTGACTATTAGCAATGACTGCATTTGTTTCTAAATGTTTGCAGACCACTTCCTTAACTATTTTTTCCAGAATCTTGCCTGGTATTAACGTGAGGCTGACTGGACAGTAATTGTTTGGGTCATCCTTTTTTCTGTTCTTGAAGATTGGGACCACATTGGCCCTCCTCCAATCTGCTGGAACTTCTCCCATTCGCCAAGAACTCTCAAAGATGATTGCCAATGGTTCCGAAATGACTTCCGCTAGTTCCTTCAGTACTCTTGGGTGTAGTTGATCTGGCCCTGGGGACTTGAACTCGTTTGAATTTGAAAGTTGCGAAAAAAATGTATAACTTGCCACCTAGTGGCTTTTTAAAACATTAACATGAATCTGTTAGCCACTATTTCAGCAAATGCTTCAGCTGCCACTTGAGGCTGCAAACCAAGCATCCCAGTATGTCATGAAAAATGTTGAAGATGCCCTATGTGCTGCAGTATCAAATATTCAGCCAAGATTTAATTCTTTATGCAAAAATAAACAAACACATTTCCTGCTTCTTGGCAGGGGGTTGGACTGGATGGCCCATGCGGTCTCTTCCAACTCTAGGATTCTAGGATTCTATCTCATTAATATGCTAATTTGCTTTCATTTTTAATAAGTGTAAAATTATATGAAGCAATGCTCCTACGCCATCAACTTCTCTGGACTGTCCGTGTTGTCTGATTGCCCAATCACTGTCTCCCAAAGCAGTTACTATATCCCCTACTCAAGAATGGGAAACATAATGTTGGTGGACAGGAAAAGAGATTTAAAGATGGACTTAAACATTAAAAACTGTGGCATAGACACCCAGAACTGGGAAGCCCTGGCCCTTGAGTGTTTATTTATTTATTATTTATTTACATTATTTCTATCCCGCCCATTTCAGCCTGAAGGCGACTCAGGGCGGTGTTCTAACTGGAGGTCAGCTGTGACTCGCACTGCTGCATAATTCGAAGAGGCACAAATGGAGGGTGAAAGGGAGAAATGTGCCAAGAGGAAGGCACATCAAGCCAACCCTGACCAGGACCACCTTCCACCTGGAACCCTTTGTCCTCACATGCGGATCAAGATTAGGGCTCCACAGCCACCTACAGACCCACCACCAAGACACTACACTTAGAGGACCATCATCCTTGTGCTATGAGGAATCGCCTAAGTAAGTAAGTAAGATATGTATATAAAATAATTGTTTTAAAATAAATTTCTTTATGATTTACTATAAGTAAATGTTTGATTTGTATACCTATTTTATATCAATTATATAAACAAAAAAGAGATTGCAAGTAGGAAAAGTTTATGAAGCCCTGCATCAGAGTCCCATCCAACACTCAAATCACTGTGCCACCTATTTGTAGTGAGTAGAAGTGTAGTTATTGTCTTGTTTGCTCTCCATTCTAATTACCTCTGTAGATAATGCAGAAGTGTTGCGTCCGCCACATTTTAATAATAAAAATTATGAGAAAGACACAATAACCTACTCTTAAATAGATCCAGTGTCATTATGCATTAGCAATACTTCATGATGTGGAATAGCCATTTAGAAAAATCTGACTGTGAACACCCTTCAAAACTGAAGCTTGCATTCACACATTTGCACATTTAATCCAAGAGCCAAGTCTCTTTCTGGAATTTCCTGCTCACCCAATCAGGCAAAAGGCTGTGAAAAAAGGGAAGGCAATCATCAAATTACACAGAGGGTTCCATCTGTTATCTTAGACCACTGTTCTCAAGTAACACAGAGAGGAGATGCTCTGAAAAAACACTCTGCTCAAGCTTTTCTTTGAGACTATATTTTTATACTATTGGTGCACTGTCAAGGGTTTATATATGCCAACCCCACAGAAGAAAGTTGTTTTCTGCATCGCCGGTGTGCTCTGTTTCGCTTGTGCTCTGGGCATTGCAGCAGCCGTTGGAACTCAGCTGTGGATCAGAGGAAAGATTCTCTGCAAAACTGGAGCACTGCTTGTCAATGCCACTGGGCAGGAACTAGATAAGTTTATTGGTGAAATTCAGTATGGACTTTTCTATGGGGAGAGAGTTAGACAATGCGGGCTCGGAGGGAGACCTTTTCGGTTTTCATGTAAGTAACAATGGCACCTGAATTATTTAATGCTTTCGTGCATGCTATCACGATGTGACAAAAAAGTGAATGAACTGTCTCCTTTTTCTTCCAAAGCATTCACAAACGCAAATTATAAAATTACATTGCTATAGTATGTCCTATATGATGCATCAACCAACATCTATTTAATAGTATTATTGTGACTTGTAGATTGAAGGAATGGAATTGCACCCTATTCTTATGCATACTTTTAAAAATATAAATCCCACTGGATTCAATAGGGCCTACTTTCAAGTAAGTTTGCACAGGATTAAAGCTTTTTTTTCACTCTTGTTTCAAGTTTATGCTCTATTTTTATAAAGTGGGAAAGAGCATAAAGAGAAACAGGGATATTATCTGAAAATGCAGAACATGCAAAATTAACAGCACAATCTGATTTGTGTTTGCTTAGAAGTAAACCTATTGAACTCAGAGGATAGCATTTCTGGCAAAAGACATTCTATAGCTCAGACTTCTGCAGGTATACTCTGAACAGAGGTAAGTCCCATTGCGGTTTTGTATATATAAGGTGATAGAAAACAATGGCTTATTTTGTTAAGCAATGGGTTTGCTGTGCTACTATGTTTCACTAGCTATCAGTACTGGATAGAAAATGGTACGAAATGACAACTTTGTCATTTATCTGTTTATTTTCCAGGAGCAATTATTGTTAAAATGGTCAGTGACACACTTGAGGCATACAAAGTACTAAACAACAGTAAAAAAAAAGTGGTTACCTGCAGAGTAACTTATGTCACCTAACAATTATTTTCTTAGCAAAAAGGGGGAAAGGGGGGAAAAGAAAGCAATCTACAGAGAAAAGTGCCACTTCCATTAGTCATTTCCGGCACATTTTCTGAACTGTAGATATAGACTTTTTTTGCAGAGGTAGCAGACCAAATTCATTTAAGTTATTACTAAGGATTGCGTAATCTAATTAAATTCTACATCTTCTATCAGCAGTTTGCAAGACATCTTGAAAAGTCCTCTTTATTACTTCCCCCTTGTGTCACGGTGTGCTGATCTTCTACTTCTCAAATGGCAGGTTGCTATGAATATTTGAAAGGACATACCAAAGTAGAAACAGTTGCTAAACTTTGTTTTTGCTTATTTAGAAGTTATATAATAGCTTATGAAGCTAGTAGAATGCCTCGCCAGTTATTTTCATGAGCTGCTGCACGAGGACTAGGAACTAGTGTGCACATAATCCTAATTGATGAAGATGGCAATAACAGTGAAGATTACTAATATAATTACTATTAATTTAATGTTATTAATTGCCATGCCCTGTCTTGAGGAGATCAGGATGATCACTCTCCTGTGAGGAAGTTCAGAGTGAGACAGAGGCCCCATCTACTCTGTCATATCATGCAATTTGTACTGCATGATATGCTCAGCGTAGACCAGTGGTTCTCAACCTATGGGTCCCCAGATGTTTTGGTCTACAGCTCCCAGAAATCCCAGCCAGTTTACCAGATGTTAGGATTTCTGGGAGTTGAAGGCCAAAACATCTGTGGACCCACAGGTTGAGAACCACCGGTATAGACTCATATGGTGCTGATTGAACAGTTCAATCTGCATTATAATGGCAGTGAAGATGAGGCCAGAGAGACTTGCTCTCAGTTCTCACTCAGGTATTTCATTGCTTGCTAGGGACTTGAACTTGGAACTCCTAAGCCCCAGCCCAATATTCTAGATAAATAGATGTATAGATAGGCCACACAAAAGTTTGATAAGCCATGGTTTTGTGTTGGCTTGTCCCCACTATTTTCTTTAGAAATGAGTGAGATGTCCTTCCAAAGGAACCTTATTGTTGTTTTCTTTCTCAGACATTTTGATGCAAAAATATTATAGGAAAACTCTTTTGCCCAAGTTTTTCCTTTGTCACTCTTCAAAGTAAAGAAGTCCTATTGAACATGATGGCACTGCAGATACTACAGGACCAAGTGCTGCTGTTGCATATCAATTGGGAATCATAAAATTTTGCAGGTTCATGATCTTAAAGGAGATAAAAGTCCTTACAGCAGCAAGCCAAGGCCTGAGCAGATTTGTGCTCTTATGGGAAAAAATAGGATCTGATTTTGTGAAGTCTGTCCATATGAATAGGCTTCAGGCTTCTTCAGGAACAGGAGAGAATGGGCAAGCAAGACAAAGGTATGTTTAGTACAAGAAGCGAGCAAATTGCAATTACAACAGGACAACAGTGTCTTTGGCTGGGATTGAGCACATGATGTCACTCCCCTCTTGCAACTCTCCTGGTGGGAGGCAGACTGGAAAGTGTTTCTTTTACAAACACAAATAATCCATTAATGACCTCCTGTTGTAAAGGAAAGGCCTTCCAATGGTCTCGCCACCCAGCCCATAACACAAGAGAGCGATTCTATGTGTTAAGTCCTGCTGTTATCCTTCTGTAATAGCGAATTGCCTGCTTTGTGTGATAAATTCCAAAATTGAAGCAAAAGCATACTGTAGACAGACAAATGGCCCACTTAGCAGCGAATGAACAAGTTTTCATCATAATTAACCTTCTGCTATATTCCCTTTGCCTTATGGTTTTCTAACTGCCTCATAACATCAGTGTCTTGTTGCTCATCTTTGTTTTCTATTTAGGYGCAGCAGCATTCTTAGTTTTATATTTACAGCTAATGTGTGGATGCTTTGTATCCTCTGATGCTCCATTCACAGAGAATCCAAAATGTGTGTAGATTCTGGTTGAAACGGTCCATTTCCTGCCCCCCCCCCCCTCCACTGTTTGCGACAAATATTTTGGCATCAAAATAACAGGAGGAGTGGACAAGTATGATGGTGCAGCAGCCAGTTTTCATCCCTGAACATCTGTACTGGGCTTACATCACCCTAGAAATAATACCTAGAAGCAGTTTTGACTTCAAGGTGTCTGAGTTGAGGGGAATGTTTAAGTATCAAAGAACGCTTGGGGTGGGGTGGGGAGTTTGCCACCCCAAGAGATTATTGGACCAACTGTTAGAAAGTTAAGAAGGTCTGGAGGCTTTGGTAAGGTTGTCAGGGTTATAGGGAACCTCCAAATTGTGTTGAAAGACTCCACCATTTCACATATAATAATGTATATGACCAGGCAATGCCGTATTTAGGACAAATTGGGCTTTCTGCAAGTTAAGTTATAACTTACTTAGGCGATCCTTTGTTGACCAAGTAAGATTGTTTTCCAAGCTTGGTGTACTGGTGGTGGGTACGTAGGAGACTGTGGAGCCCTATGCTTGACCTGCATGTTTTCCCATAGTGAGGGCAAATAAGGTGACAGTTGAGTATAATATGAAAACTTTGTGTGCCAGAAATTTCATGAAATGTGTAGGGCACATTTTCTCTGGACAGGACAAAGTTGTGGCCCCCTAGTCAACATTGTACATCTTTTCACAATAAGAGCAATCAGGAACAGACATGTATAACCCAGGAACAACACCCTGTTTGCACAGATGGCCCTGCAGCTTATATAACCCAGGAACAGAACTTATACAATAATTTGCATCTTTGCATGTTCACATGTTAAGTGTTTGTTTTAAAAAACCACCAAAATTTCTGGTAGAAGTCCCATGGCAGCCATCTTGGGAGCCTCTAAATTTCACAAAGAAGAGGCAAGTGTGGACAATGGAGGCAGAAATCCCGAGACCAACAGGTCTGTATGTGGACCCCTTCTGAAGTCCCGGGATTTTTTTGCCCCTGATTAAAACCTGAAATTTGCCACTGTCTGGAAGCACCCACAGTTTGTCATAATTGAAGTATGCTTGAAAACTAGAGGGAAGTGGGAAGAGGAGAAAGAAACTGGAACATTTTAAAAACAGAGAGAATGAGAGAGGGAGAAAGAGAGAAAAATGCAACATTAGGATTGTCTCTACAAAAACCAGGCAGTTCAAGGCTATGTTATACCCGTTTTATATCTTCTAACATAGTGCGCTGCTAAAGCTATTTTTCATTAGACTGAAAAACTGAAACATATTATTTCTTGATTCCCACCTACTTATTGCAGCAACAACAGGGGAAATCCTAGAAAATGCTCATTCCCATCTCAGAACTTTGACAATAAATAACAGGGCAACTCTAATCATTAAACAAAGCTAAATAGTTCAGTTGCTTCAGCCAATTGATTATAGGTGGTATAGAGAATAATTAATTGATTTTTATTGATAGCCTGCTTTTAAATGGCTTTTCTGTTAGCTAGATAAATTGATTTAGAGTACTATTTTATTTATTTATTTATTTTCGTTTATTTGTTGGATTTATATCCCACCTTTCTCCCAGAATTTTCTCTCTCTGTTTCTGGCACCAGAAAAAAACCATATTGGCTTGAGTGATTTTTGGAAGTTATAGTCCAAAAGGGTTACTTGCCCCTAGTTCTGCTTTTGGAGACAGAGAAAAGTAGTGTCAGTCTGAAATGTCAACTGCATTTACTTAGGAAAGAGGTTTGCTTATTTTTCATTGTTAACAGGATGAACACACGCTTTCTTAACTTTATAGAAAATTCAATGGTTTAAATTCAGCTACCTCCAAAAATATATAATTATCAGGCAACAATAGTAATTTATTACTTCTGCAGGAATGCTCACATGATGTTACATTCTCTCATTCTCCTTCTCTCTCTCTCTCTCTCTCTCATTCTTTCTGTGAGTTACTAAAAATGTCCCAGGAAATGGCACTGTTTTCACGCAGTACATATGTTTGCATTTCATTGCACTGAGGCACACAGCATGGCATGACCAAGAAGAAAGAGCTAAATCATCTGCCTTGTTTCTGTCCTGTGTTTGCTCCCATTAAGTGTTCTCCCTACCGGCCACTATATCTCATTTAATTGTAAAATGAATTTGCTCTGCCTGTAAAACCCATTCAGGCTCGGGAAGGCCTTCTGCTTCATTTACTCTGGCTGTTGTCAGTTTCTGGGTCAGCAGTTCATTTTCTAAAGGCCACTGGCACACAGTTTCCATTCGTTATAATGAAAGGCAGCTTTT